GAAGGAAGGAAGGAAGGAAGGAAGGAAGGAAGGAAGGAAGGAAGGAACCACCCTACTGAGGGCTGCAGAATTATGCGGCCTTTAACGTTTCAGATTGGTGACCCTTCCAAGACCCAACTGATGCTTCTTATCGTATCTACAGTACATGAGTTTCAGTCCCAAAGATGCTCCTTCTCCCCAGGAGTCCAACCTTCAATTCTGGATGAATACTTCTGTACCCTTTCACTCTTTGTTCCTCAACATCCTTCTTACATTTGATCACAAGCTATTGAACCAGGTCAGAACCAAGAACAACAGTTGCAGTTATGTTGCAACGGTCATAAGTGTGAAAAATGGTCATGTCACTTTTTTTAGTGCCATTGTAACTTTGAATGGTCACTAAATGAACTGTTGTAAATCAAGGATTACCTGTACAAAAATGCAAAAAGCTTCTTTGCTTGCAAAAAGCTGCCCTAAATGGCAAACATTAGATTAAAAATACCCGCAAGCCGGAGTTACAAATCAGGCAGGGTGCCAGAGCACCTTGAGAATGAAAATATTTACAATGCAATGATAACTGTCAAACAGCCAACTCTTGCTCATAAAGTGAAACCCTTTAGCAGAGAGGTCATTTAAGTTCTCCAGAAAGAGCACACCCAGGAAAAGCAATCCTTAAATCCATTTGCACCACTTAAAGATACCAGCTGGTCTCACTCACCTCACAAGATATCCTAAGGAAATCACCTAGATTTAAGGAAAGGTCACATGCCCCCCAGAAAGGCAGTAAAAAATCAGTGTCAAGCTTGCATCCTGCCTCCTGGAAGTATACCCCAAAAGGACAGTGCCAGATAGTATTAAAGCAGTGAGGAAGACCCCCTCCCCAAATAGAAAAAGAAACCATGAGGCAAGAAAAAATTCAAACACAATACAAATAATTAAATCACAACAGTAGCTGTTGCTTGTTGAAGGTGAATAGGAAAAATTATCCCATCAATAAACACAGGATTAAACTTCACCAAGCACAGAATTAAGTTTCACCAAAAACCATTTTTAGACCAAAACTCAGAAAGGGTATGTAAACTCACATTTGAATGTCAATCCTTCTAGCTAGCCAAGAAGCCTTGTTGAATGTCACTCATCTTGATTCCCTGTCACTAAAAGCTTTGCTTCATTATTCAATTATTTCTTCAAAATGCTGATTGTCCAGGGAAGTATTTCCTCCCAACTGCAATGTAAAAATCTTAAAACAACCCTTCCCCTTTAAGAAAGCCAAGCCTCACAAGCTCCGGAGACAGCAAGTCTAGGCTGTCTGCCAAGAATGTAATAAGGGTGGAAAAAAACAAACAGAGATTGCTTCTAACTACCAGTTCTCCAAACTACTTAGAAAGTTAACAAGGGGTTCTATAGAACCAGATAGAACTGGTAGAATCCCACTCCTGACTACATATACAGCTTCCCCCTATGGACACTGACACACACACTCACCTGCACGGCATAGGTCACTTGAAAGAGAAAAGAACAGGTGAAGTTGCTTCTTTCCAGAGAAAGAGATTAAAATGCATAGAGGAGAAAGGCCCCATGGCTCCATGAAAACTCTGCAAATAGGGGCTTGGAGCACCACTTGAGAGAGGTACCCTTCAACATTATGAATACTCATGATCATCCACTGCTTCCTTGACCCAAAAGGAGTCAAATTGGTTCCTTCACTCAAGGTGGTAAAGATTGCGAGGTTGTAGGCCACCACAGGCTTAGAGCCCAAGTGGCCATAGGAACTCCCCTGAGAAAACCAACAACAGCACCCACCATAAGCAGCAACCCCATAAAACAGGTAGTCCAACAACATTTTGATCAAGCATGTCTATACTGTGAGCCACATGATAGCCACTTTTACTTGAACTTTGAAATGTTCCCTTCAAGTGATCTTCCCATTGTTTCCATTGTTGTAACATCAAAGTGTTATATTCTGGGCATGGGCACAAGGAACGGAGATGAGGCAGTGAATGGTGAACTTCAACTCTTTATTAACGATCAGGAACAGAGCGAAACCCTGGGCAGCAGCAGCTCTTTTATAGGGCTGGCTGCTGTCCCATTAACCAATGACTTACGTTAAAACGTTTAAATTGTACCCAATGAGAGACGTTCCACTAATAGCCAATCAGGTTGCTCCGTAAGGACCAATCCCAGCTCGCTATTTACGGGCCAATCAAAAGTGCAGGATTATGAGCCTGCTTTTCTAGCAAGGTTGTCAAGCTTTATTAAATACGTTTATATTAGTTCATAACACCCCGCCCCTCTAGGTTCCGTTTGAGGGGTGTGGTGATATATTCGCGTAGATATGCAGGTCGTTTCACCTGCCTGTTTGATTTGCGCTGTTCCACCGGTTTCTGTCTGCAGTCTGATTCCGGTGGAGTGCTACTAAGGTTTTCTGGTACGGTTGGTTCCGTTTCGGTGCGGGCGGACTCGGCGCGGCTGCCATTGTTGTTATCCCAGTCTCCTAGGGTTACTTCCGGGTTCCGTGGGCTTGCCTCCCTCGTGGTATTTCCCCGCGGCGAGGCTACCCCGCTTCCTGATTCTTCTTCAGTTGGCACGCTTCTTTGGGTTGGTTGCTGGGTTTCCCTGATTACGTCATCATCTATTTCGTTTTTGGCCCCCTCGATATCCCCTCCCCCCCCAGTTTGCGAATTAGGGGAGTCGCGGGAAATGGGTGGCAATCTGGATCGAAGCTGATCTATATGGCGTTTCCATACTCTTCCGTCATTAGTCTGTAGGCGGTAGGATCTGGGGCCGGTGGGTTGGGTAATGGTTGCAGGGACCCACAATGGGTCGCCGGAAAAGTTTTTAGCAAACACCAAGTCGCCTATCTTGAATTCATGGCACTTCCCGCTAGACCCGAAGGGTTTTTCTGGTGAATAAGAAGGATGTAGACGGTCGAGGTGGGAGCGAAGTTTCCGCCCCATTAACAGTTCGGCAGGAGTTTTATTCGTGACGCTGTGTGGGGTGATGTGTTGAAGAAGCAGGATTCGGTTCAGCTTGTCGTCGATGTCCCCATAATCCATTTTTTGTAGGGTTTTTTTGACGAATTGGACCATTCGCTCCGCCCTTCCGTTGGCCGCAGGGTGCGCCGGTGAGGTTAGCGCATGGCGGATGCCCCAGTCTGCTAGGTACTGTTCAAATGCCAGGGCAGTGAACTGGGGCCCGTTATCAGAAACTAAAACGTCTGGTAACCCATGCGTTGCGAATAATTTGTTCAGTTTGTTAATGACTGACTCAGTTGTGGTTGTCTTCATTTTACGTATTTCTAGCCAGTTGGAATAGGCATCCACTGTTAGTAGAAAAGAGTGTCCTTTGGTGGGTCCCGCAAAATCAATGTGGATGCGGAACCACGGACCCCGAGGGGTTTCCCACTCGGTTGGCGTCACTTTAGGTGGGGCGTTGCTGACGTCTTGGCACTTCCGACACGTAGTTACCCAGGCTTCGATCTGTTTGTCGATGCCCGGCCACCACGCGTAGCTCCGTGCGAGCGCCTTCATGCGCACGATGCCCGGATGTCCATCGTGCAGTATATGGTGGTCTCTCATGAATGAAGACACTGAGGCAGTCGTCTTGAAGCCAAATCGGGATGAGAGCCCAGGGCAAGCTCTGACACCCTCTTTTATTAGAAGCAATCTTTGTTAACGTTTGCAATTTTTTGTTAGTGTGTTGTTACAAACTCATTACATCACACAAAATACCATATGAGAATACAAAGCTGTAAAGTTTAAGTTTGCTACAATTCTGGGTAAGAAGTGGCAACATTTCGACCTTGTCCCTCGCCTCGTGTTACAAACAACTACCAGAAGGCCCGTTGTCCTTGCACGCGCGCGAGGAAACAGATAGCAATTCCCACATCTCCTCTGTTTTTCTTTTTTAAGAGACAGGGAGTGTTTTAGTTCCAACAGCAGCCTTTGTCAGGCGCGTAGGCAAGAGTGCTGTGTATGCTGATGTTATCCATGGCGTTCGTGACTTCTTCGACCATCACAAACATCTTGTCCTCGTCTGGGTCATCACAGGTTGGCTCTCCCATCTCTTCTTCGGATATGTGTTAGTTATTTGTTGATTCCAGAGAGCCATTACCTGTGCAGTGGCTTTTTTCTCAGCCAAAAGGGATAAACTGTTAGAAATAGTGTGTACAAAGATAGGTAATACACAAGGCAATATAATACATCCCGCAGCAATCATACCAATAAGCGCTACAATAGCTTGCAAACCAGGTAATTTTGGGAACCAGGATCCAAACATGTCTCTAAAATCAAGACCATTCCATGTTTGTACAGGTACATGTGCAATCTTGATCATTCTATCAGTGATTTGTTGAATAACTTTTCCACTATCATCTATTTCAATACAACAATTACTAAGGTTAAATTTTCCACACACTCTTCCTTCTTTGGCAAGAAGATAATCTAACGCCAAACGATTTTGCATGATATATGTTCCAGACAATGCACTTTCTTTAGCTAATGTTTTCAAAGCAAGAGCAGTTTCATTGGTTATAATTTCTAATACAGCTTGCAACCTTATAATTCTATTGAGCATATATATGGGGATACGGTACCCCCAAGTCCCGTCCTGGGCCTCTTACTTGAGCAGAGTCAATAGGTGGGGTGTATCAGTAGTTGTAACAGTGGTGGCCCCCACATTAGTCCCGGACACCTTTTGGAAGAGATATTTCTTTTCCTGTAGATAAGATCTTTGCCAGCTGTGTGAGCCGCAGGTGACTCCTGCAGTGTCGTTAGGACCTTGGCCTTTGCTGATGGCAAAACAAGCATCAAAACACACAGAAGTGTTGGTAACCCCCCGAGTGACATTATGGGTAATGTACCCATTTTTTGCTTGACTGGTTGAGAACATTGAGGCAAGGTCAGAGCTGGATCCTCCTTTGTAGGCATAGTCATACAGTGAGGCGGTGATGGGCCCCACAGCCTTTGGCTCGTAGCATTGGATACCTTGTTTGGTGTAGCATCGTGCATATTGGGTGTTGTTATGCAAACAAGGGGAGACCGTCATGGAGTTGCATTCAGGTTTCAAAGTATGATAGATCAGGGTGGACTGGGTCTTCGTTCCGCTGCGAGTAGTTTTGATGCAGGCATCGCAGGAGGATGGGGTGGCTGTCGTATCAGCAGGAACGATGTGGAAACCCAGAAAGCAAATGATGAATGAAGTGGGCAGCTTCATGATGCTGATGTAGGCAAGGCTGGTTTGGGTAGAAAAGGCCTTACTTGTCGCCCAGGGACCCAGATGATGTTGTTGTTGTAGGAAACAGCAGCGTACCCTCGTCCCCAGGTTATAAGTTCAGCAGGACCTTTCCACTGAGGATCTGGAAGCTGATACCGTTGGTCTGGGTTCAGGATGAGGCGAGGAAGCGAAATGACGTGATGCTGCTGTGCATGGGGGGGATCCGGACTCATTGAGGAAGTTAAGAGTAAACAAGCAAACATTCAATGCATTCTGGAGTCCTGGCAATCCTGTGATATTTTTAAATTTGAATTTAAACTGTCTGGCCAAGGCTTTTTTGTTTTGATGAAAATAACTATGACTGTCCCAGGGTGTTTGTTGTGAAAGAATCATGCAAGAGATGGCGCTGTCTGCGGTTGCAGCTGCAGCTGCCGCATCAGCCATATCATTGCCTTCCTGGAGAATTCCTGGGAAGGGTTGGTGGCTGCGAATGTGTGCTACAAAGAGCGGGTGCTGGTGCTGTGCAACAAGGTGTTGCAATGTAACAAAAAGAGAGAGAAGATTTTTAGAGACAGAGACTGAAGTGAAGGATAGGCAGTAGTTGAAAGCATTTTATGCGTATGGAGTTAGTACTTCGATGAAATCAATCTGTGTTCTCTGGAAAGGCCAGCCCATCAGGGGTCGCCCTCCCATTTCTTTTTTCCTTGCTACTTTCTTGTTTACTTTCAAACATACTTTGCATTCACAGAAACCACCTTCACCCCTTCTCAGTTTCCCAACTCATCTTTCTCTTTTTCCTCAGGTTTCCAATCCTAACAACTCACATTTCTGCGCAGACCATGAAGGAAGGGAGGGAGCCCTTTTATGACCTCCCCTGCTCCTATCATGACTGCAAATCCTGATTTCCTCTTTCCTTCCTCAACCCTGCTTGACCCATCCACAAACCATCTCTCTCCTTCCTTCAAAGGAGTTTCTTCCAGATACTCCCTCACCTTTGTCATCAGATCTACTTGCAACAAACAATCATGGTCCTCAGTTCCCACGATTCTGCAAGCCTTTAGATAGTCCGAGAGGGAAGCCCCCCCTCGGGCAGATAGAGGCTGTAGAATCCTCTTGCAATCCTCATTTGCATTTTCAACAACCAGTTTTAACAGACTAAGAGATTTTTTAGGAGTGTTGAGGAAGATGTATCCATTCTAAGATAAGGAGGTTGCTAGTGTGCTGAGACTTTTGGGTTAATACAGCAGTAGGTAAGGAGGGGGTGTATTGAGCAAGATTAAGGAAATAGGAACATTGTTGTGACATCGGTTGACCCACCTTTTCTGCATAATGTGCTATATGTCCTGGGTGATTTTTAATTGATGATCTGTAATGGTAATTTTATCCCCTGGAGTGGTTCCTCCCTTTAACACATCAAACAGGGGGCTGAGCATGTGTGTAGTAATGCCAAAATAGGGACGGGTCCAATTAATAGCCCCTAAATATTGTTGTAATTGTACGAGGGATGTCTACACAATGGCATCACGTGTGGATGGACTGAAACTTGTATATCAAAATTTAAAAAAAGAAAAGCAAGAAGGGAAAGGTGTCCTAGGCACTCTTTTCCAATATTTTACAAGGAGAAGCAAGGGAGAAAGGAAGAGATGAGAGGCCTTAAGCAAAAGTTCTCCAGAGATAATAGACAAATTCCACTGAAAAAGGGATTCCAGAAAGGCACACAAGACCGCACTTCTACACCTGCATCCAGAAATAACCATAGAAAACTGGAAACAACATGCAATTCAAAATGTGACAAAACACTCAGTATAATCTAGTGAAACCTTTGCCAAGAAAAGGAGAGTACTGTAATGAAACAATGATTTAAGACATGGGATGTGGGGGGGGGGGGGAAACAATCCCGGAAAGCATAAGTGTTTCCACAAAGGCATGATATCTAACCGAAAGGGGTAAAATGTTCAAGACATAAATGATTGCCAACATCAATGATTAGACTATGTTATCCCAGCGAAACTTTTTGTGAAATGAGAGATCTGAAGTAGGAGAAGGGGGAACACTGCAATGAAATAATGATCTATAATATGTGATGTGGTTTAACTGAAAAGCAATGCACCAAATGTTCAAGACACAAATGAACATCAACACTAATGAATAACAATACTGCACAATTTCAGAATGCACCAGATAGAATCCCAGTGCAAGTTATGTGTTCTATATTAAGTATTACAAATATAGGGGAAAGAGTTAAAGGCATCACACTCCATTCAGTGCACAGGAGAAGTTTTTCTTCAAAGAAGAAAGACAAATGGATCGAATTGAGAGGAGATTAATAAAATAAAACTGAGAAAATTCAAAAGAGAGGAGAAGCTATGTAGAAAATTGAAAATGCCAATAAGATGCCAATGGTATGCAAAATGCCAATGGTATGCAAAATGCCAATGGTATGCAAAATGCCAATGGTATGCAAAATGCCAATGGTATGCAAAATGAACACGAATCTGAATCTGTGTCTGTACCAAGAGTTTTGACCTGGGACTAAGCAACTTTCAGAAAAGAGATTTTTTAATGCTTTTATGTTTTGTGTTTCTGTGTATCCATGTTCTGCATGTCTTTAAAAATTAACAAAGTTTGTTAAAAAAAAAGAGAGAGAGAGGCTGAGAGTTTTGAGGAAGGATAGAGCAGATCGGGAACCACAGAGATTCCTTTGAGAAGGGCATGAGGGTGAGATTGTAAGAGCAGTTTTATCGGAGAAGAAGGAGGCAGAAGGAGGAAGCTGTGTGCTGACAGAGATGGGGAAAGGATATGAACACATCTTCTGCCATTGATAATTCATACACAGTGGATGGTATATGGGCAGCCTTGGGAGAGGGGCTAGCTGCCGGCCCCTCTACTGTCGAGCATCTCTGCTGGCGGAGGGCTTTGCTGCCCCCCCGCCGGGGCTCGACATTGTGATTTAAAATGACCAGGCTTCCCACAATTGTAACAATTACCAGATGATTTATTACCTCTGGTGATAGCTGCAGCCATCATTTCGGAAGTGTCTAAAGAGGCTTTACTGAGGGGTTTTTCAAGAGAGCCCCCTCTTTTAAAAAGGAAAAAATTTCGTTTGGTTGATTCTCTTAGTTCCTCAATGTGCAATTTCTGGTCCTGAGAGAATCCTCCACCCATACTCACGAGGGATCCACGGCGATCGCCTGCGATCGAATCAGGGATGAGGTATACCAAGGCTATGCCAGCCGATGAGTATGGATGGTCCAAAGACGTACCACCTCGCAGATGATCACGTCGGGGTCACCAGTTATGGTGGTCTCTCATGAATGAAGACACTGAGGCAGTCGTCTTGAAGCCAAATCGGGATGAGAGCCCAGGGCAAGCTCTGACACCCTCTTTTATTAGAAGCAATCTTTGTTAACGTTTGCAATTTTTTGTTAGTGTGTTGTTACAAACTCATTACATCACACAAAATACCATATGAGAATACAAAGCTGTAAAGTTTAAGTTTGCTACAATTCTGGGTAAGAAGTGGCAACATTTCGACCTTGTCCCTCGCCTCGTGTTACAAACAACTACCAGAAGGCCCGTTGTCCTTGCACGCGCGCGAGGAAACAGATAGCAATTCCCACACAGTACTTCTAAAACTGTCTGTTGTAGCCTCTCTGGGACGATGACTCTATCTCCCCAGAGAATGCAGCCCTTCTGAGAGAAAAGTTCTGTCTGCCGGTTTTTGAACGGTGCGAAGTTGTCGTGGAGTTGGTCGACTGGCCACCCTCGTTCGACCCAGCTGAGAACTCGTGCTAGGATAGGATCCCGTTTTGTCTCGATGGCGATGTCTCTCGCCGTTAGCGGCGGCGAGTGCAGCGTTTCAATTTGGAGCGTCATGAGGGTTGGAGCTGGGTCGTCGACGGCTTCCGGAAGTGGGGAACTGCTTAAAGCGTCAGCGTGGGGAATGGCTTTCCCCGGGCGATGTTGCAGTAGATAATTGTAGGCAGCTAGGAACTCTGACCAGTGAGTCATTCTTGGCGATAATATATAGGGGGTTGGCTTGTCTCCTGCTATAATACCAAGCAATGGCTTGTGATCCGTAATTATAGTAAATGCTCGTCCATACACGTATTCATGAAAACGCTTCACGGACAATACAACAGCAAGAGCCTCTTTATCGAGTTGGCTATAGTTCCTTTCGGCCCTTGATAATGTTCGTGAGAAAAACGCAATAGGTGCTTCATTTCCATTTGGTAATACATGACTTAAAACTGCTCCTACTCCAAACGGTGAAGCGTCGCATGTAATAGTCAAAGGTAAAGTCTCGTTATACTGCATCAATACAGCGTCGGAGGTTAGTAAGTCTTTCACTTGTCGGAAAGCGCGTTCCTCTCGATGTCCCCAGACCCAGGTTGCTCTTTTGTCGAGAAGTCTGTGTAGGGGCTCAGCTACGGTCGCCTTCTGGGGCAAGAAGATGTTGTAAAAGTTAATGAGCCCCAGAAAGGCTTGGAGGTCTGTTCTATTCTTAGGTGTTGGGGCGTTTTTAATTGCTTTTAGCTTGTTATCAGAGGGATGGATTCCTTGACTATTGAGAAGGTATCCAAGGAATTCCACCCTCTCAGTACACAGTTGACATTTATTTTTTTTAACCTTCAGGCCGGCGTCTTTGAATTGCTGGAGAACCATTCTGAGACGCTTTTCTAAAACTTCTCTATTCGGGGCGGCAATTAAAACATCATCAAAATATGGCACGACTCCTTTTATGCCTTGTAAAAGTCTCTCCATCAGACTTTGAAAAATTCCCGGGGCTACGCTCACTCCGAATTGGAGTCTATTGCACTTAAAGGCGCCTCTGTGCATAACGATAGTTTGTGCTTCCGCAGTTTCCGCATCTACGGGTAACTGTTGGTATGCCTGCGCTAAATCCAATTTTGCGAATATTTTCCCGCCACCCAGGGAGTGGAGAAGGTGTTGAATCACCGGCACCGGGTAAGCACTCTGCTGAAGTGCGTGGTTCAGGGTGGCCCGATAATCCCCACAAATTCTTAATGATCCATCCGGTTTGATGGGTGTTACTATTGGGGTTTCCCAACGGGCGTGGTCGGTTGGTTCTAAAACACCCTGGGCTATTAATTTATCGAGCTACTCGTCGATCTTTGGTTTGAGTGCAAAAGGCACCCGACGAGGCTTAAGGCGGATGGGAGCTACTTCAGGATTAAGGCTAAACGATATTGGGGTCCCCTTGTAGCTCTTCTGAAAAAACGTCCTGGAATTCTTGGACGAGAGACTCCTCCCAGTCGTCGCTCTCGGCTCGGTGAACGCCGGCTACCTCGATCCCGAGAGGGGCGAACCATTGTAGGCCTAACAAACTAGGCCGGTCACGATCGACGACGGTCAGCGGTAGTGATGCGGTACAATTTTTGAATGAGACTTGGACTTGGCTGGAGCCGACGACTGGGATTCTGTTGCCCTGGTAATCTTTGAGTATGATTCTTTGGGGGCTGAGATCCTGACGACGGATGGCCGGAATTAGTTGTTGGAGGGTCTTCCAGGATACCATTGAGAGAGACGACCCTGAGTCGACTTCCATTATGCAAGGTTGGTTCTCAATGGCGACCCTTACTCGGATCTTTCTCGCATCTAGGGATGATGCGTGACCGATGGTAATAGTCTGGTGTGTTTCTTCCCATCTAGTTGAAGTGGCAAGTGCTTTATTTCTGTAGGAGTGGTTGTTCCATTGGTGGTTCTGGCGATCTCGGCTCACAGGAGGATTTCCTGTAGACTGGCGGTAGTTATTTTCCCTCCGAATTGGGCTGGAACCTCGCTTGCTTCTACAGACCTTTGCGATGTGGCCTCTCTTTCCACAGGAACGGCAGAGTGCATCGAGGAATTTGCAATCAGATCGTGGGTGGTTTGCCCCACAACCCGCGCATTGACGCGGGAATCGTTGGTTTCGTTGGTCTCGTTCTGACCGGAGTCGGTTAACCTCTTCCTCATCACTTTCTGATGGGGATTCTAGGTCCTCATGGTGCGCCGTTGTTGAGTGCCTCTCTGGACGAGGCGAGGTATCATTTGCGAGTTGATGGAGCGCTGCATTGGTGCGGCGCATTCGAGTGGCCGACTTCCTGGTTGCTTCTGCTGCAGTAGCGTCTGCGATGGAAACTGCAAGATCAATGTCCCCTTTGGCCATGATCTTGCTCTGCGTCGTGTGGTCATCTAATCCCAGAACTATGCGGTCTCGCAAAGCTTCTTCGAGGTTTGAAAACCCACAGAGGCCACCCAAGTTCCGGAGGTCAGCGATGAAGTCTGCAAGGCTTTCGCTTGTCCGTTGGTCCCTCTGGTAAAACTCGTGTCTACGGACAAGCGTTGGCACTGCAGGTGCATAGTGGGCCCGTAGAAGGGGCGCGAGGGTGTCCCAATCCATCGTTTTCACCTCAGCCGGTTTTGCAAGTGCTTTCGCCATCTTAAAGACGGCAGGCCCGCAATGGGTCAGGAACACTGCTCGCTTTTTGCCGGTCGTAGCGTCCTTTAAGTTGTTGGTCTCCAGGAACATCTGGAACCTGTCCATATACGAGTCCCAGTCTTCGTTTGCCGGGTCAAATGGAGCGGGTGGTATGGCACCACTGGACATATTGCTGTTGTAGGTGCGCCTTCAGCCACGTGCTCTGTTTGTTGTTCTGTAAGTGTTCAGTCAGCTCTGATGTCTCCGCGTCCCACCTTCATCGCCAGTGTTATATTCTGGGCATGGGCGCAAGGAACGGAGACGAGGCAGTGAACGGTGAACTTCAACTCTTTATTAACGATCAGGAACAGAGCGAAACCCTGGGCAGCAGCAGCTCTTTTATAGGGCTGGCTGCTGTCCCATTAACCAATGACTTACGTTAAAACGTTTAAATTGTACCCAATGAGAGACGTTCTGCTAATAGCCAATCAGGTTGCTCCGTAAGGACCAATCCCAGCTCGCTATTCACGGGCCAATCAAAAGTGCAGGATTACGAGCCTGCTTTTCTAGCAAGGTTGTCAAGCTTTATTAAATACGTTTATATTAGTTCATAACACAAAGTATCACTTCTGGTAGTTTAGATCAGTGACCCATAACCTTTTGGGCATCAGGGACTGGTTCCTTGGAGAGTGGGACCGGAGGGGACATGGTTTTGTGTGCTGCCTGCATCTTGCGGATGGGGCTTCGCTTGTTTGTGTGGTTCAGTTTCTGACATGCTATGGACTGGTGCCAGTCCACAGACCAGAGGTTGGGAACCCCCTGGTTTAGATAATTTGAGAAAATAAAGAAGCACTCCATTTCTGTAAAATGGCCTTAGAAACCTATTCCCTCTGCTGTAATGGGAACATT